AAATATTTTGAGATAGTTTGATTATTGGCAATTCGGAAGCTTGTCTATCACTTTTGACAAACTAAATTATTTGAATATTTAAACTTTTTTTCTTTTATATGTCATCATGTAGAATTTCTGTGAAACTTTCAACGTCATGACATGACAGCATACTGTCCGTAATGTGGCAAGGCGTTTCCGTTTACAAATTCACGACAATTGTACAATAATTTTGTCTACATTTGGTTGGTTTTGTCTTCACTACTTCAATGCTTGGTTTGTAGGATTTATTTTATAGTCAAAATACAACAACAAATTATTAAACTTATCCTACTTTTTAACATGTTTTCATTATGCACTCCATTTTTTACCGATTATGATCAATAAAATTTGTATCAATATTGTAATAAAAAGAAAAACCTATTTGATATCACATCATGTGAGGGAAGTGACTATGTGTACGATAATATTCTTGCGTAATTTATGCATATAATTTTATCGTGATTTGTAACCCTAGTCACAAAAGTTCTGTTTTTCTTTTCTTAATTAATCAAAACTCATTTTTATTACATTCCTTCTGTGCAGTACAAGCCGTTTTGAGTTGTGAAAGGACAATTCAGAAGCATAAATATACTAAGGGAAGTAACCTCATTGTGCAGCGCCAAATATGATTTATGAGTTTTGCTTCCCTTATAATTTTGACTACATTTCTAACTGAGTTCCAAATGTATAAACGAAGGAATAGTTAATTTATATTGAATAAATTCAATGATCGATGACACTAAAGCTGTAAAAAAAAATCAAAGCCTTAAACAAAAGCTGAACTAATGAAATAAACTCAGACTGGTAAATTCCTCAGAACCAATACGGCTATATTTTTCCAGATCCTACAAAATCATGTGTGTTTATCTATGTGTGTTTGTGTGTGTGTGTGTGTGTGTGTGTGTGTGTGTGTGTGTGTGTGTGTGTGTGTGTGTGTGACTTGGATTTGTATGGTAGCTTTATAACAATTTTTCAGTCATATCGCTACGAAGTTTAAAGCGTAGCAGTTTATAGCGATGTTTATCATTGGGGCATCACGCTGCAGACATGTAGCATGATGTCCCTCCGAGACACATAATCCTGTGATAAAGTCTGACCAATCCTAACGCTAGTCTCGTAATACTGGGCGCCAAGCGAGGCATCTTTTAGTACCAGTTTTATCCGTAATTGGTATGACTCGACTGGATTTTGAAACCGCGCCATCCTTCATCCCATCGGACCCTCTAACCGCTTGGCCACCGGATCGGTCAACATGATGTATGTTGACCATATGTATAATAGCTTATAAGATACAAAACTATGTGTCTAATGAACCCACGTTGTATGTAGCGCTTATATAGTTAATACCTTCAAACAATGGAATGCTCTTGCCAAATACTGCACGGGTAGAGCACCAAAACCATTTCAGAAGACTTAGTTAAAAAGTAACACTGTCTCGACATTGGGCCAGAGGGGTACTAATTGACAGAAAGGTTGATATAAGGTAAAATTAATTTTCTATTATTAATGTGTTTCATTCAAATCAGATTGCTTTGACTTAAATTTTCAATATATGCAAGATTGCATAGAAAAGAACAATTTTACTACATGGAACAACCCTTATGAATCCACTTTAATCTATGTAAAATTGCATGCGAGTTCGAGTAATAGAATGGAGATTACACTTACGTCATTGTGAATAACTGGTAACTAATTGCAGCAAACGCACATTAGAACAGTTATAATGACATCCCAACATAGATAAATAAACATGGAAGAACTCGATGGAACTGGGTTACGTTCTCGATGAACTCGGTAAAATGCAATAAAAATACCAATAAAAATACTAGGGGGGGGGGAATTTAGCAAGCAAAGAACTGACACTGAAGTGAATTCACATTATGTGTCCTATCAACAGTGTATGCATTCCAAACTTTGTTGCATTTGGTGTATCTGTTCCTCCAACATGACTGGTAAAGTTCATTCAGATTTATCGAAATTTACAGGCTGCTTTTGTAGGCACCTCTATGCTCCTTCCAATCATGTCTTGCTGGTTATAACTAAGGAAAGCTCCTCCGTGTTGTAGATTTAATCTTTTGATATTGCCTTTTCTCTTGTCTTTCCTTTATTATATGTGTTCGCTGTTACTAAGAATAATATCAAAGATTTTAGTTATAGGCATTTTATCGAGGGTTTTTTTTTGCTTTATTCGGTCATATTTAAGTAGGGTTTATATCCCTTGTTTGCTTGAGTATGGGAGCTTACTCCCTTCCGACTGAATGACAAGAATTGAGTTGGTTTCCTTACCTTTCGTCCTGTACCTGGATTTGTAATCCCTTCGCGCTGGATAATAATCCGATGACCTTTGCATTGCCTTTTGCCCCTATTAAATTTGGTATTTTTTTAAATAGTGACTTTTGCCAAACTAAGTTTGTCACCGTCTTGTGAGTTTGTGTTTGTAATTCTTCATTGTGTTTCCCTTTTTGGTGTGAGGACAGGCAATGTCTATTTCATATTTCTGGGTTTCTCTCTCTCTCTCTCTCTCTCTCTCTCTCTCTCTCTCTCTCTCTCTCTCTCTCTCTCTCTCTCTCTCTCTCTCTCTCTCTCTCTCTCTATGCTTATTTAAGTCTTCTTACTGGTTTTGATTGTTTTCCGAATAAAGGGTGTTTCGTAATAAGTAAATAAGGTGTCTAAGTTGTTACGATCTTGGTTTGCGTGCGTGTATGTTCACCCTCTCTCTCACGTTGTAGGAAGTTTCTATCTTTTGTCAGGTTTGTGAGACTTTCGTTTAATTCTTGTTTGGTTATGATATATGGATTTAAGGTTCTTTATCTAGTTTTGTCAGATATTAGTATTAAAGTATGAGTATATTTTATTAAAGATATGTCTATGATATGTGCTTGTTCAGAGTAATTTATAGTTTAATTAGTTTAATTAGTTTAATTGTCTTCTCGATTAACTGTTGTGTGTAGATAGATAGATAGATAGATAGATAGATAGATAGATAGATAGATAGATAGATAGATAGATAGATAGATAGATAGATAGATAGATAGAGATATATAGACATACAGACATATACAGACAGACAGACAGACAGATAGATCATTTTTACTCAATGCTGTGAATTGTACAAATTATTTTCAGTTGGTGTCGTACGTGCAGAGGGTCTGTTCCATAACATTAAAAAACGCAAAATTGCATCGCATCTATAAATAGGCTTACATACGTCCTGACAGTCACCAATAATAGAATTATTAGTAGATATTTATGTTTACAAGATTCGACCTTTTCCTATTGATCAGAGGGGTCAGGTATTATCATAGGCGAATTATTTGAATTCATATTGAATGGATTAGGTCACTTGAAAAGGTGTCTTGAAACATTATAATGAATAGTATGATTGGTGACGTGGGGGCATGTTGTGAAATATAGTCGTGTTACTTATGAGAAGACTGATCAATCAAAATTCATTTCTATTATGGAGTCATTCTAATTTCTTGTGTTCTTTTTGCAAAGTCAAATCGGCAGAATTAGTTTATATTGTACTTAAATATTATTGAGATGAGAGACATTTGTTTGGATTGTTCATTGGAAAAAGAAAAGTGCTGAATTCTCTGGCCATGATATTCTGGAACTATTGTGAATTCTTTGAATGAGTCTTGCACTGCGGAAGCCTGACATCATCAAGATTCTTGATGAATCAGTACATTTCCGTTCAGAAATTTTTATACAGAACTTTTCATTCTTTTGAACGTTAATAAAACTCTTCATATTACATGGATTCACTTTAAAATATTGTAAGTTCCTATCAAACTGGTATTAATAACTTTGATAATTAACTTATGTCTTACGATTTATAAACATTGATGGCTTTGCTTCTTTCTGTTACTTAGTTTATGACCGTACAATCGCAACATAACAATTAAAGAATACGTTAATTAGAAAGTATTTTTCGGTTATTCTTACTAAGGAGATTGTGAGGCTGTATTTATAAAGACCTGTTTACAACACAGACTTTACAGGGAGCTCTCTCCAAACCCCCAAAAATGCAATGGCATTTATAGTATTAAGGTACGCGCCTCTGCAACCCTATCAATCGCCAAGAGTCAGTCTCTGCCAAAGATACATGTCAAGCAACTAATGATCCATGATGCATAGAACACCGCTAATATACAGCTACAATAAACAACGCACGGCCATAGCTTGAAGTGGATTTTACATTACATTTTAAACATCACAAGTGTATATTAATTATTAAAATTTCTTAAATGTTTAGCAAAGTGGAAACGTGTTAATTTCAACGAAGGGAAGTGGAAACGTAACTTCGCTTGACACATGACTTTATTAGAGAGTTAATTCCGATTAAACCAAGAATAGCACATTCAATTTCTTATTACGAAATAGCAAACGGTCAACTCGCCGTTACAGTATGTGCCGCCTAAAGACTCCTTGCAGATACCATTTGTTGGGCAATTGAAACATGAAAGGTGAATGTCTGAAGAAGCTCTCCCATGCACCACTGCTGAAAAATGGGAATCAGCTCTGGTGATGGTTTACAAACAACATTAGCCAAGCATATACATAGTTAATGTACACATGAGCATTTACTGCGTGCATTTTAAAATTATATCTGAACTTACATAGGCAATTGTTTGCTAATAAAAGTAGGTTTGGATATATGAATAAATGCTTCATGATAACAAAAAAAAACAAAAACAAAAACATTATCTTACACACATTTGATTATTTGTCAACAGATGGCAGAAAATGATGTTCGTTGTGAATGCAACCATTTCTCTGAAGAAAGAAGCATTTCACTTGGATGTTTGTATTAAAATATTCAGTTGGATGCTTAATGGTTTACATTTTAATTTTTAGTCACAGAGTTGCAAGCATTTATCTAATTCTCTCTTTATTTATTTCTTTTTTTATTTATTTATCTAACTCAGGCTTTTGTCTCTTTATAATAATCAAATCGTTCAAAACAAATGTAAACCGCTCCGGTGGCCTAGTGGCTAGAGCGTCCGCAATGGATGTGGGAGGTCGTGGGTTCTATCCCCGTCCGAGTCATGCCAAAGACTTACAAAAATGGTACTCAGCATTTAGAGGCTAGTGTTAGGACTGGTCGGCCTGGTGTCAGGATAATGTGACTGGGTGGGACAGCATGCTACATGCTTGCGGCATGATGCCCCAGTGTTAGATATCACTATAAACTGCCACACTGCAGACATTGTAGCAATATGACTGTATAATTGTTAAAGCTACCTTAAAAATCATACTCACATCACATCACAAAACAACTATGATTCTGTGTGCGCGGGTGAGTCCTTAAGTTGATCTTTATATAAAAATAGTCTCATGTTTTGATGTTTACTTTCAAGCGAGAAAATGAAAACAAAAAGGAAAGAAGAAAATAAATTTGGAGGAAATAAAAGAAATAAGTACAAACATAAGTCCTCTGTAAAATATTTTGATGCTTAAGTAACGGAAACTGTGTTCACAGTCGCTGTGTTACAGTATGTACATATAGACTAATACTTGTTGCCTCAACAAAGTTGCCATAAACGGGTACCATAACTAGTTCGAATACCGACTAACCTTTCTTATCCGGTATCTGCCTAATATTGGGTGAAAAAGTAATATAATAAAACTAGTGTACTGTCCGTGAATTAATGAATGGTGTGTTAAAAACTCTGTTATATAAACGTTATTGCACTTTTAATTAAGTTAGAGATTTTTGATTGCAATATATTGTACACTGTTCTATAGCTTTTCTCTTCGTTATTTTGGTCGGTTTCTATTTTTAGCGCTTTGCTTAATTTTGTTTTTTTAAAATAACTACTCTGAATGTAAGAAAAATCGAAAATGCCACGGTCACACCTGGTAAAGTTCCCAAGAAACTCCAAAATACCATGCTCATATCTGGTGTAGTTCCAAAGAAACTACAGCTTGCACTGCATCCAGCGCATTAAAATAAATCAATTTCATGCTAATGAGAAGAGAAAGAAAAATAATTATTCTCGTAAGTTCACTATCCGCACAAAATTAGGTTGCTATGGTAATAGTGGTATACTCAACAATAGTCGTTTGATTTTCAAACCTCAGACTGGTTGTAGCTATAAAATATCGTGAACCGTAAATGGCGAACTCGTGTGTGCCATTGATATAAAGATCCAAAACTATAATTTGCACGTCAGATATATTGGTGCAGCAACATCAAGTTTCTGCAAAGTATCGTGTCTGCATCTTGAAATGCACCTGACTGAAATTGAAACGAAAGATATGTCATGATGTCTCAGATGAGTTTTAGACGTGCAATAATATACCAAATTTTGGATCGAAAATTTCCAAGTCAAGGAAGATTAACTGTTCCTAAATATTTGTCTGTTTTTTGTGTCTTGTGAACGCCTTCTCATCCTGTTCCTTGTATTGTTTACAATTTTCATGTTATCTTTATGGACACCTTACCAGCAATAAATTTTCCTTTATTACTAACTTTTAATAAACGTGCAATCTGATTAACATCATATTTCCACTCTATTACGTGAAGATTTGACAGCGACCGCGTAGGGGTCAGGATCTGGTGACCTACATAAGTACCATAATCTCTAATTTTATCAACCAATCAGATGAATTCTTATATATTGCAGTTTGGGAGGAAACTAACTCAAAGGTCACCAGATCCTGACCCTATGCGCGCTGTCAGATATTCTCCCAGGACGATGGAGATTTGATTTAATCAGATCGAATGAATATGTTACACGAATCTCCCAGGACAATGGAGATCGGGTTTAATCAGATGGAATGAATATGTTACACGATTCTCCCAGGACAATGAAGATCTGATTTAATCAGATTGAATGAATATGTTACACGATTTTCCCAGGACAATGGAGATCGTGTTTAATCAGATGGAATGAATATGTTACACGATTCTCCCAGGACAATGAAGATCTCATTTAAGCAGATTGAATGAATTTGTTACACGGTGAGCTGAATCTAATAGATAACGCATCCTTTGCACGTACAAATACAAATCGACAAATGCACTGTAGACCTCATTGCTATTTTCATGTTCATTTGTTGTGAAAATGCTTTTTCATGGACCGATTTAAAATCCTTTCAAAATATATCAATACATCATGACTAAAATTAATGTCGCATATCGTACGTCTGTTTTTATTCGGAGGTAGGTGCCATGATGATTTAGGAGACATAGTAAAAAGGAACAAACAAAACCATTGTCGTCAAAGGTTGCGTCGCAAACTGCAACACCGTGTAATTAGTACGTTAAAGATTTATTGTTGATACGTTCGAAACTTTTATTATGTTTTGCTCTGTTATACGCAATTATTGTTCAGTATTTTGTGTCTAATTAGCCTTGAACAATGATAATTGTTGAAATTATATATATATATATATATATATATATATATATATATATATATATATATTTATATATATATATATATATATATATATATCAATAATTATAAATGGTGTTATGTATGTATGTATGTATGTATGTATGTATGTATGTATGTATGTATGTATGTATGTATGTATGTATGTATGTATGTATGTATGTATGTATGTATGTATGTATGTATATATGTATGTATGTATATATGTATGTATGTATGTATGTATGTATGTATGTATGTATGTATGTATGTATGTATGTATGTATGTATGTATGTATGTATGTATGTATGTATGTATGTATGTATGTATGTATGTATGTATGTATGTATGTATGTGAATTTCAAATGTTCTAGCATACGGAACTAAAAAGCACTATACTTAAGGTGGAATAACATCTTTCGAAATCAAAGGTTGAACCTTACCGAACTAACAATAACTTGGGAATTTTGTTTGTTTCTTTGTCCGTTTCAAATTTGTAACAAAAAATCAAAATAATAGTATCAAGTCCCTGGCTATCTAATTTATAAATTCCATTAAGATTTGTGTTTCTGATGGCAATCAGGAACAAGAAAACGGAAACAATTCTATAAATTAACTTCTACATTGGAATGTATGTAATAAGATCAAAGCGATGTGGAATTCCAAACTAGAAGTCATTCTCTTTTCAGCTCATCATATATTTTGACATATTATATTTCTGAGACACAAAATGCATACTATTGCATCGACAACGCATGAAATATAATGATGTATCATTATGATGCGTTCGAGGCGGAGGATCTAACCACTTGACCACCAGAGTGGCCTGACACATGGAGAATCGGTGGCTACGAATGTTACAATGCATTTTGTAAACTAATAGGTTAGCTCTTACATTGTAGGTATGAAACTGGCTACTTTATATGCAGCACGTTACTAGCTTGCATCGCCGGGTTTATACCATGGTAAATAATATACTTTTTCAAGTCCTAACTCAACTTCCTGTTAAATCTTAAAACAGACATCTTGTGAACAAGATATAGTTGATTTCCGAATGATGCATACAATTGAAAGCTCCCAGTATCATTATACATACATACATACATACATACATACATACATACATACATACATACATACATACATACATACATACATACATACATACATACATACATACATACATACATACATACATACATACATACATACATACATACATACATACATACATACATGCATGCATGCATGCATGCATGCATGCTTGCAGACAGACAGACAGGTAGGTAGGCATGCATGCATGCATACATACATACATACATACATACATACATACATACATACATACATACATACATGCATGCATGCATGCATGCATGCAGACAGACAGACAGACAGACAGGCATGCATGCAGGCAGACATACATACATACATACATACATACATACATACATACATACATACATACATACATACATACATACATACATACATACATACATACATACATACATACATACATACATACATACATAGCTAGATGTAGCTTAGAATCATTACACTGCCATAATCTAGGTGTACCAGTTTATCTACATATATGTGAAATATTAAGGTAAATGGTTACAATTTTATATCTCTCGTTAGATTAGCCTTTGATACAGAAAATAAAAATAAAATATATGAACTCTGCGTAGCAATCGCTTAATAGTTCGTCTCTCAAAGTTACAACCAACCCATGAATACCTGGCAGATTCAACACCTTCCTAGAGATTGTTGCTACACTGTACCTGCTGGATGGACAACGAATAAAATATTCTGCTTGAAAGATAATTCAATTTACTCTTATATAGTATAAAGACTAGAAAGTTCTGATAACATATTACACAGTAATAAATAAGGTCATTATGTTAATATAATTTCATTTGCTATACTGTATTTGCTATATTACAATTGGCTCGTTTGGTGTAGAGTAGCCGATGCCAAATTACACCAAGTAGTTCTATAAATAGAATACACTTTGCCATCTCTTCAAAGAAGTATTGTACCATGGAAATTAATCTAAAGATTGAACAGAAATATAAACTCAAGACACACTTTACTTGCAGAAATGGAAACCGGACTTTCCGTTTATGCTGCACTAACCACAAATTAACGAAACAGTCCAAAGCTATCTGTTTTGATAGAAGGAAATTGTACTGTCAAAATACAAATTATTTATTACAGAATAAAGTAAACGTTCCAAATGTGAGATAAAATAGATCGCTACATAATGCCAGCCTCTGAGAGTGTTTCTGTTTTTCTCTTTTTTTTGCGCACAATATGAGTTTAGGTAATCTTCTAAATGTGCACATACTGTTCTCCGCTATATTGCACTGAACTTTCCTTGTGCCAATCTTTATGAAGATAATTATCAAGGAGGAATTAGTTTTAAATGCGACTGATTCTAGAACCAAACAGTTAGAAAGCAATAGAAATTCAAAATTTCCTAACCAAACTAAAAAATATCCTTTGAAATGCGGCATTTGATGCTTTGCAGGAAATGTAACAGCAAGAAAATAGCTACCAAAAACACAAACATACCGAAAAAACCCCACCCAACTCCAAACATTCTATTAATTTGCCCATGGCTTTAAAGAAACATTCATTTAAATTTTGTATCAGACTATCACGTACACCATTCCTATTTTAGTCTCCTTTGAAATGCAAATTTCTCTTATTTATTTCCTTCGTTACATACGGAGTTACAACTAAAGATAAAAAATTTTGTATACCAACGCAATAGTCAGACGTGAAGTAGGCTTGTCGAGACAGGTGCAGCACTTGATTCATAAACAGCAACGAAAGAGAAGGGCTATTAGTCTGCCAAGCTTGTTGGGTTTGCTTGTACATAGATCAAGATGTGCTTGCTTGTAATATGTAATATGCACGCTTGTTCGGCTTGCTTGTACCTGGACTAAGATGTGCTTACTGGTAATATGTAATATGCAAGCATGTTGGGTTTGCTTGAACAAGGTGGGCTTGTTTATAATACACAAGCTTGTTGGGCTTGCTTGTACATGGACTAAGATATAACAAATGTACAAGCCCAGAATAAATCTCTGCCTTATATAGTCCAGTGGTTTCACGTTTCTTTCATCCACTCTTACATTACAAAATATCTAGTTATTGTGTATTTATTGTTTCGAAAACTCCGTCAAACCCAAGTCTTTCGAAAGTATTGCCAAACTCGGATTCCATAGCATCAATGTTTAATGTTATTCCAAGTAAGAGTGGTTGATTTTCTTGAGTTAAACCGGGTGCCAATTGTTGCCTGTCGTATACGATCTTTTAAATACATTTCAAAATTGACGCATTATCGATGAAACAATTTTAATTAATTAACAAAGTGCATTTAATCATACAGGAAGATTCAACTCTCTCAGATGAAATCGTTAGTGCTATATTCTCACGATATCGCAAAAAATAATGACCTTTATTGCAAGCAAAAAGATGTTTTGTTGTAAACGTATCAATACAGCTATCAATAAGATAGTTTGTTTACATTGGCTGGTCATGATTAATAGTGTCTGGCCCATCTAATTGCATCATCTTGTCATCAGCGTACAGATCTTTAACCAGACTAAATCTGACACGTACCATACATTCTTATACATCATGATGCGAAAGTCTCTGAAACGTTCAGTACACTAGGCCGATCCGGTGGCCTATTGGTTAGAGCATCCTTTTCGGATGCGGGAAGTCGCGGGTTCGAACCCCAGCTGAATCATATCAAAAACTTATTAAAAATGGTGATAACAGCTGCTTGGTTAGTGTTAGGACTGGTCGACCTGGTGTCAGAATAATGTTACTGGGTGGGATATAATGCTACACGTCTGCGGTATGATGTCCCACTGCAGGACATAACTACAAGCTGGCACACTGCAGACATCGTAGCGATATGACTGAAAATTGTTTTTAAAGCTGTGTTAAAATTCCAAATCACAAATACACACACACACACACACACACTATACTTCTATATGCTCTCTGCTTCATTCATATACCATGACCATCATGTTAAGCACACGTAGCGAGCAAGTTTGGACCAGTCTTTTGAACAGGTTTATAAAGAATGTCGCGTTTGGAAGACCTCGTAACCATTTTCATGTTTTCTATCCTTGCAAAGATTCGTAAGCAATGATAACAATCGCGATCTATAAAAACTTGATGTACATTCAGCCGTATCATTAGAAAGTCCATTATTTTAAAAATACACTAAATTAATCGAAAACTTAAATGTGAACTATGAGCAATAAAAGTGCCCAGATCCATTGCCATAAAAGTATGATTTGTAACCACTACAACACTGTAGTTTCATGCGGGACATATTTGCAAAGCTTACTTATGATAAAGCTTCAGTACAAAATAATGCTTGGCAACAAATGAATCCCAAAGATAGAACTTTGAACGACCTTGTGGCCATAAATAAAATATCAAATGCACCGCACGAAAAGATAAATCAGCATTAATCTACACCGCAAGGTTCACCAGTTTTCGCAAGTACTAATTTAATTCGATGTCGTTACTATGAAAATTTCTTCGTGTATTGAACTCGTTTTCAAACAGATTTTACGCTCTTGCAAATAGTATAAATGATAACTTGGCTACAGCAAGAAGAGGAACGTCACCAGTAAATCCCTAGCTCAACTCTAATATTTGTTGTTTGTTATCAAAACATTGACAATAACAAGGCAATAAGCTCCGAACCGATGTCAGAAGATTAAATATCAATTAAACAGCAATACATTTTTGATAAGCATATGACAATGATTTACGTAACAAATTTCAACTTTACGTTAAAGTCAATCAGAAGATTGAGGTGATAATATTCCAGTTTCACGAGCAAAACTTTTGTCCTTAGTTCTTATGACTGCAGTATTTATTCTGGCACGACGACTCTGTGTTTGAGGAACTGACTTAAAATAAATGTGTGTGTGTGATTTTAATTTTAACGTAGCTTTAACAACTTTTCATCCATATCGGTATAATGTCTTCAGTGTAGCATGTTATATTGATGTCTAACATTGGAGATTCATGCCCAAAATGGATAGTGTCATGTCCTACCTAGGCTGAAAAGTCCTAACACTAACCTCTTAGTGTTGAGCGCCAAGCGAGGCAGCAACTAATACCATTTTGTAAGTCTCTACTATGACTTAACTGGGGTTCGAACCCGCGACCTCCCGCATCCGAGGAGGACCTACTAATGACTTAGACCACCGAAAAGTTCGACATAAATAGTGCCAACTCGATAAGCTAAATGATAACACAGATTGGACAAGCTCATAATAAAACACACACATATATATATATATATATATATATATATATATATATATATATATATATATATATATATATATATATATATATATATATATCAGGTTATCGCATATAAGTAAAGTCAAAATGCAAAAAAAAACCCCAAAAACAAAAACCATGTATCCTTATATAACATCGCATTATGCGCCGGCATATCATGGTCCATGTTGTTTGATCGACTGATTACTTTTAACACTGAAATGATCCCAATCTGCTGGTGGATAATGCGGAGGCAAATTTGTTAGTGTGCAGTTTGTACTGCGCACGTCTTATAAGCGAGTACATACGGTATATATATATATATATATAAATATATATATATATATATATATATATATATATATATATATATATATATATATATATATATATATATATATATATATATATATATATATATATATTCATACTATTCATATGCGGGAAAGATGGTTAACATTACAGAATATAAATAAGTATGTGTATAATTTCCGTTACATTATGTGCATATATGACGACTGAATAACGTCACAACATTGGCGATTCAACTTATTTACCCTTAGGGTATGGTTAATAGAATTTATCAATGGCAACGGTGTAGAATAGGAGATTTCCTCCACAGGGTCAAACATTTACGTCAGACATTTGGCACAGTCTCATGTCTAACGCAAAATTCTAGTGGAATTATGTCCCGAGTATGGAAGTTTTTTTCTTACAGTGAAGCATAATGATGAATTATTTTTCTCACATTTCTGAATGAAATTTATGACCGACCTAAAACGGTATAACTGATGGCGGAAGACAGCGGGAAAACAGCGAAACCAACCACTGATCTCACATACCCACATTGGCTGAGCGGGAGATTGGAACCCAAGCGGACACAGATTCAAAGAATGTTCTAGTGATGATTGGGAAGATTTCGCTACTTTGCGTACACTCTATTCATATTAGATTTTCTAAGTAGTCCATGAACCAGGATAAATTACACCTGTGGGACAGGATAGAGTTATCCTGCAGCGATGTTCCACACTGAAAAAAAAAACGATCATTCACTTATAGGAATCTGAAGTTGCAATTTCTTAACAATCAAATTCAATTTGATGGAAATAAGTATGTCAAAGAATATAAGATATATCTGTCAACAAAGGTGGAACGAAATTTATATCATACAGTTATTTAGTAGAAGTTAGTGTCAAATTATTGATTCAGCCACAGGATATCAATCGGCTAGCGGTTATCAGTATCGAAGCCATCGAAGCAAATTTTTCAGCGGTGTTAATAGGACAATGACAATAATTTGCCCTGTAAATTTAGGCAAATAAAGCATAAACGTGAAACATTTCACATTTAATTAAGATGCTTGCAATATTTTGAATATCTCATTAATTTGAAAAATAAGTCATTTTTATAGAGGAGCCATGAGATGCTTAGTGGTCTAAATCGCTGACCGTTACGGATCACTGCCATCTCACCCCTGCGTGAGTTCGAGTCCAGACTCGGCTAACGTGGGTAAGTGAGAAAGCCTGCCAGTAGCATCTCGTCGGTCGGTGGTTCTTTCTGGGGTTTTCCAGGGTTCTTCCTCCACCATTAATACTGGCCGCCATTTATATCCTATCTTGTGCTGACAAATGGCGTTAAACCCAACAACACCAACATTTTCATAGATAAAATATGTATTTAGAGTTCAGCAGTAATATTCTAAACTGCTAACGTACACTACAATGGTTACACAAATACGTCGTTATGACGAAATAAACAGGAAGCAAAGCGAACAGAGATTTGTTTTTCTTACATGTGTATGGGGACGGCGTTGATATGAGGTTACAAGTAGTTTGAATTCAGGTGTACGGTGAAAGGCCCAATTCAAATAATTCCAAAAAGGATTCGTGATACTAATGCTATAGTTTTATCTACTCTGTAAAAGACGATTCATAGCATCCTACAATGTCATGTACAGAATGTTTCTCATTATATGAAAGCGATGTTTTCTTTCCGAACTGACACTGAAAATATATACTGAAGGTATCGTGTTTTGTAAATGAGAGGTGTTTTATTTCCGAACTGCATTTTACATGAAGATAACTGCAATACATTGCCAACTGATTTCATTACTCGTAAGCATCCTAGGGTATAGAGTAGTATAATAACTTGTGTATGATGTTTTTAAGTGAAATATTTTGATTTATTTCTCCCATTCACTTTTTTTCTCGCCCTTCTTAATAGAACATACAGTAGAAACGAGCTCCGGCACTAGCTGCCCCACCCCAACTTGTATGTTTGAAATATTCAAGTCGTCCCGTGCTTAGTTGTGTACGGTACTCAATCCGTCTGCTGCTTCGCTGTGTACAGTACTCAAGCTGTTCCCTGTCTGGTTGTGTACGGTATTCAAGCCGTCCCCTGCTTGGATGTTAATCGTACTCAAGCTGTAACCTGCTTGGCTGTGTACGGTACTCAAACCGTCACCTGATTGGCTGTACACGGTACTCAAGCTTTAATTATACTGTTAGGGTTTTATGTTTGTTTTGGGTGGTGGGGAGCTTGTTGTCCTTTTTTGTCTGTAGGTCTATTGTCATGTTCTAAGTTGCATATCTTGCATCCAGTTGGATATAATATAAATTCCTTCATATTTTCAAAGTTGACTAAATCAGGCTGTTATAACCTGACTCGTATTTTAATCTCTCTCTCTCTCTCTCTCTCTCTCTCTCTCTCTCTCTCTCTCTCTCTCTCTCTCTCTCTCTCTCTCTCTCTCTATCTCTCTCTCTCTCTCTCTCTCTCTCTCTCTCTCTCTCTCTCTCTCTCTCTCTCTCTCTCTCTCTCTCTCTCTCTCTCTCTCTCTCTCTGGTAAGCAAATTTGCAGTATATCTGAATTCAAATATGGAAATATGGAAATCCTGGAAAATCTACTCGAGATACATTGCACGAAAACATCATTTAAAATGGAAACTTCTACTCTTATACACTAGAATTTTAACTTTGAAATAGTTACATCTTACAATATATAATCACATATAAAGGCCCAAGACAGCGTATGTATGTATGTATGTATGTATGTATGTATGTATGTATGTATGTATGTATGTATGTATGTATGTATGTATGTATGTATGTATGTATGTATGTATGTATGTATGTATGTATGTATGTATGTACGTATGTATTTATGTATGCATGCATGCATATATATATATATATATATATATATATATATATATATATATATATATATATATATATATATATATAGAGAGAGAGAGAGAGAGAGAGAGAGAGAGAGAGAGAGACAGACAGACAGACAGACAAAGAATATGGGAGACAACGTAATATTTGAACTGTTATTGATCGTGATCGTTATGTTAACAACCTTTAGTCATTCGTTAATTTTATTCTCAAATCAGTTCTGATACAGAACCAAAATCTTTAAGTTAGGCA